ATGTACACAATAATAAAAAGATAATAATTAGAATAAGAATTAGTATCAATAAAATTTATATTAAATATAATTTATATTAATATAAATATACTAATAAGCAATAATTAGAATAGTTATTTTATGACTCATACAAAAACGTGAGTTAAATAAGTCAAAGTTGTTTACTTCAAATTTGTTTACTATTTTTATTTCTAAATCAAGATAGAAAAAACGAATAATTCTGATTATAAATATCACGTATACATTGTAAAAGTTTTTTGCTTGTTCGATTCTACATAAATATTCATATATAATAAAAAATTGTTAATGTTATAAAATTATTTATATAACCAAATTTAATTTTAAATAAAAATATTACAAAATTTTTTCTTTTCTGTAATTGCTGCTATTTATCATAACATCATTCATCATTTTTTTTTATTATAATATTCATTACGTATATTAAAATTATTCAAATCGATAGAAAATAATTAATTTATATAATAAATTATCAATTAACATTATTTTAATAATCTTTTATCTTACAAAAATTTAATTTATGGATCACAATTTTTGTAAAATTTTTCTAAAAGAAATTAATTAATAATTATTTATTATTTAACATGACTTTTTTTTTAAAAAATTTGTTCTAGATAAAATATATTATAACATAGATTATAACGTTTGAAAAAAATATATTTATTTAATATTTGTTATTTTATAAATATTTATTTGATTAATATTAAGAAACAATTTATGAATTTAACGTTAAAAATGTTAGTACTGGAGAAATAAATGATAAATATCATATTATGTTAACTTCCATGCTGATATAATGAAAATGTTAAATAACAGAATAGCAGAAAAGAATTTAAATTATATTATAATATGTGAATTATATTATAATATTATGTACAATCAAAATGTTTCAAATTACATATTAATTTTTGATATTTAAAAAAAAAATTTTTCTGTCGAAGAATGAACTGCAATGCTGTACAATTACAAGGTCATTGTATACGAACATGTTGCCCCTAACGATATGTGTTTAATCGAAGGATTCCCCAATTGCCATGAGTCTCGTTCTATAATTATACTTTCCGTGACATAGTAATGCAATTTTATCTTTGAAATAATAAGATAGTGCAAAAAGAACAAATTGATAATAATAAAACCATAAAAAGAAAAAAGATAATTGTATCTTCCTTCTTTTACCTCTAAAAACGATGAAATTAATTTTATAATCTTATCTATTCAGTTCAGCAAATAAGAGAAGTCAAAATAATAAACTTATGAATATTTGAATTAATGAATTTTATGAATTAAGTGTTGATGTTAATCAAGATATTCTTATTCTTATTCTCTTTTAAATGAAAAAATATTTTTAAAATGAATTATGTTTATAGTGACAAAGATTTACTTTTGTAAATGAAAAATAAAAAATAAAAATAAATGTAATTAATTGATAATTAATGTAATAATGTATGATTATTATTAATAATGATAATGCGGTCGTTTCCGTTGCTATTACATAGCATTATTATTAAATAAAAATGTTATACTTTTTAATTATATAATTTGGTATCTTTTATATTTATAAGATTATATTAGCGAAAATATAACGAATTTAAAAATGATTTAAATTTTATTACAATATTTTAATAGAATATAGATAAGATATTAATATAGATAAAATATTAATTTAGTATTTAACAAAAAAAATTTTGTATTTCAATGTGCATTGACTTTAGTAGTATTCAGTAGTATTGAAAAGCGGTTAAGTCAGACTGGGCAAATACGCTTATAATTTATCCTATAGTATTATAGCTAATTATTAATTAATAATCATGACATAGATATGATACTTTTAGATTCAATTAAATAAAATCTTTCATAAATGATGTTTCATTTTTGCATACTTGTTCTTTCTCTAAGATAATCTTCCTTCGTTTGAATCCTCAATAAACAAATTGATTGTAATGTATACAGTAAAGAGGGGATGAAGGAAAAAAACAGAAAAGATTCAATCATGGCGCAGAATAAATTTATAACGTTTTCTATGTGTTTATGTGCTTAAACTAACGTGACAATCCAATACCTAGTAATTTCTTAAGAAGAACTTTTTCTATTGGTGGAAATGGCGAAATACAAGTTGCGTCGTTCGTAACGTCCTTCAAACGTTCTTATCGATTCTGAGAATATACAGAGTGTATAATACGAAGTTCACTGTCGAAATATGTTAGTTCGTCGGTAACAACGCTTGACCGATTGTCGTTCAGTGAGCACTCAGTATTATTGAGGGAAAAACTATCATATAATTATCTTTTCTTTTTTTTTTCAATTACAATATTTTAAGTCAGACTGCGAAAATTTAAAAAAAAATGTCAGATAACGAGAATAAATTATGGTGTCAAAATAAGCGTCAAAATTGTGTTGTGCAACCACTCTTAACAGGTATTTACAATGTGAATTTCTTTACAATCCATATCATTGTAAAAACAATGAAGAAAGTAACCTCAAAATACGCGCGGTCACATTATTTTATTATTTACTCAATAGATGTTACGTATAAGTAATGATGTAACACGTGGTGTTGTAAAATATAATTCACATGAATTGTATACAATGATTTAGGAAAATTTTTTAATTTTTATTATATTTTATTTAATAAGTTATAGTTTAATCTTTATTTTTCTATATTTCTTATTTAATATTAGTAATAATTTTAATTTTTAAAAATATTATTTAGTATAAGTAAAATTATTTTGCATAAAATTATATTATATTATATTCTAAAAAATATAATATAAAAATATAAAAATATAATAATTTCAATAAACTTGTAATTACAATTAATGTTTATTTATTGTACATATTATTGTACATTTGAAATAATCTATAATTATATAAATTTATTAAAACATCATTTATATATAAATAATATATGAAATAATATATATTTACATTGATTTTCTAATTTTAGATTTATACCAAATTACAATGGCATATGCTTATTGGAAAAGTGAAAAGATGAATGATTATGCTGTATTTGATTTATTCTTTCGTAAAAATCCTTTTCAAGGAGAATTTACAATTTTTGCTGGTTTAGAAGAATGTATTAAATTTTTAGAAAAATTTCATTATTCTTCAAGTGGTATGTATTTATTTTGAAATATTATATTAGTCAAATAATTTAAATTCATAAATATAAAAAATTTTTTATATTTTAAAATTTCAATTAATATATTAAATTATAGATATTAAATATTTAAAATCAACAATGCCATCATCAATTGATGAAAGATTTTTTGAATATTTGAAAGACTTAACACCAAAAGATGTAACAATATATGCTGTAGAAGAAGGTTCAGTTGTTTTTCCAAGGTTAGTACAAATTATTTAGAAATTGCATGTATCATGCAGATAATATTTAGTTATGTTAATCATCATCATCATTGTCATCATTTAGGAAACTTTTTCTTGCTCTTAAGACAGCAGTTAGAGTTAATGTTCGAATGCTTATCAACATTACATATTTGATGAAACACGAAATCTTAATAAGTTAAAACCTCAATACAAATTGATATGTTATGCAGAATACCATTACTAAGAGTAGAAGGTCCATTAATAATGGTACAACTTTTGGAAACAACATTGTTAACATTAGTTAACTATGCGAGTTTAATGGCAACTAATGCAGCCAGATTTCGCATGGCTGCTGGGAAAAATATAACATTGCTAGAATTTGGTCTTCGAAGAGCTCAGGGTCCTGATGGTGGTTTAAGCGCTTCTAAATATAGCTATATTGGTAAATATTTTGTGTATTTTTATTTTCTTTTTATTTTTTTTTTAAATCTCAATTTTATTCTATATTTTTTTAAGTCTCATTTAACATATTATACATTAATTTAATACATCATATTATTTTTATTATATTTTTCATTGTATCAAAAAATATTATTTCTTCTCCAACATCATTTCATTTTACAATTTCTTATCAAAATCAATAAAGTATCATTTGATAATAGTTTGTACCACCTTAATAACAAATAATTTAAAATAGTTTAGACATATCTGTACATATATACATATAATTACGTTTCATAATTTTAAAAAGAATCATATTAAGATATATGTTTTTAGGTATAATAAAATTGAATTAAATAAAGTAATAAGTAGTAATAAATATATAAAAATTCTTTTTTCTTAGTTTATATTAATTATAATAAAAAAATTTTTTAATTTTAAATATATTTCAAAAAATTATTTATTTTTTAGGTGGTTTTGATGGTACAAGTAATGTTTTAGCAGGAAAACTTTATAATATTCCTGTAGGTGGAACACATGCACATTCATACATAACATCTTTTATTACTCTGGATGATTTGCGAGAAAAAGTAAGTTAATATTTTTATTTTATTTCAATTGAGTAAAGTTTTATTTCGCTTTAATATTTTATAATCTTTTCAGACTTTGGCACATAAAGAAACAGGAAAAGTTTATGATATTTTAGAATTAGCCTACAAGCATCGAAATTCTATTGCAGCTGATATAGGAGCACTAGTTTCTGAGGCTTCTAATGGAGAATTAGCTGCTTTAATTAGTTATGCTATTGCTTTTCCACAACGATTTCTTGCTCTTGTAGACACATATGATGTGGAAAGGTAGGATATTTTGCTTATTATTAATTTTTTTTTTATTTTGCTTTTTTTGAAGTATATTTGGTATTTTTTTTTTTTTGTATTTTATGTAGAAGTAGATATATTTTAATATCATATAT